GGATAGAAATATAAATCGTTTTATTATTGTAAAATGAGATGTATTTCCGATGCCACCAATGAAACATCAGTATGACCAAAGTGAAAACAATGAGATCGAGTTAATACCACTTTGGTCAGCTTCCCAAATGTTTACCGTATGTTCTTTTGGCTCATTTAACCTGAAGGATTGCATTCAACTAGACTAGGCACTAAGCTTGTACTTTGATCATGAACATTTAACAGTACACTTTCGGGAACCGAAAGTCTGCATAAACATATTGTTAGGGGCCTACTTAGCAGCCATTTCCCATAAAAATCGTATTTTTAATCACAAGGTCCTAGCAACTATTGTAAATTCAATTTAAATCTAACGACATTATTCAACAAGCTTGCGCATTCGAAATTGGCAGATTCGCATAGTACCATCTATACGACAGGTTTCGGAGAAAGCACTATGTTCCATGGTCGGTTGAATCTACTGAGTTACTCAAGTAACACATGTCATCGTCAAAGCAAAAGTGCTGCCACAGTCTTGTCAACCCGCCTGTAGGATTGAGCATGTTGACAGGAGATTGGGTTGTGTCGATTTCCTTGACCCCTCAAATGGGCAACTACCTCGTAGATGGGTTTGTGGAAAATTCTGCAGTGTCTCCCTACTTCATATCTGCCCACAGAAGACCTATTGGTAAACACTTACTTAAACATTTGCAAACCACTAGACAGATTTAATAACTGAAGCCTTATTAACATCCAAATAAAATATCACCACATCACCACCATTATTATTATTATTATTAGTAAAAATACAAATCTTGAATGCTGTGATGCAAAGTGAAATGCATGATAAGGAAAGGATTATTTGGATGTTTAGAAGGAGTCTTTGAAGAATGCACATTGAACTATAGAAATTTAGAAGCATCTTACATGTTAAACCAAGCCTGTCCGAGTGGTACGCTTTGAGTGGATTTGATTTTCTCTTTATACCTTCGCCAGTTATTTAGCAGTTTACCTTGAAACTGCAAGTAGTACAACTCCGCAGACTCCATACGTCACTACTTTCTAGGCTTTATAGAACCCTGGTAAATTAGTTGTTGCCTTACATAGGTAAGCGCCAACTTTCGCGACTTCAAAGCATCTTATGTTTTGAATGATTTTGACCTCGGTATGCTTTTCCTGTTGGCGTGTTTTGTTCAATGAAGGTTCAGTTCAATGCAGGGATCCTCTCAAATCTGGGTGCCTAACAGTTTTACGATGCATCATTAGGGCATGAATCACTCAAAAAGGGGAGTATGGTAATAAATATGGCCCCAGTTTTACTACAGCTTTCCTTCGAGTAGATCCCACGCTAAACATCAGTGGCATCTAATACCTCGAATGGATGGCATGTTTTGAGGCAGTGGTATAAATGCCCATTATTTCCCCTTTAAATCAATAGGCATAAAGTCACACGAGAGCCGCAGAACCTCCATGCTCCCACGAAGGTGGCTACACGAACTATGCAGCTGTTTTAAACAACTTTCTTGTTCATTTGACAGCACTTTGATCTTTTCATTTAAGGCTTACTGAAGGATATTGAAATGTAACTCATTTCACAAAAAGCGGGTAGATATGATTTGACGATGCTCCGAATCATTAGTTCTGATCATAGATTAAACGATAAAATGTGAGTGGACACATGTTTATTAAACGTTTAAAGCATTATTTGTTAACACGGAAGATCATCTTCTACGACGAATTGTCTCTAATGTTTAACAATTTAATGACGTATTAAAATCACGCTGAAAAAACATGAGTTGCTTTTAGAATTCACAAAATAAGATCAAAAAGTTAAGCGCGTAATTCCTTCCTAAAAAGCACATAGTTTTGCATTAAATAGGATCGTAAAATCCAATAATCCGTTCTATTTTGTAATGCAGTTACCCTCGCCCAATGCAAACAATTTCAGCCCTAATGTAAGGTGTGAAATGCTCCATTAAAATTGCTTGGATGACGAGACCATCCACTTGCAAACATATTGCCTATTGTACTTGATACTTACTTGGACGTAGTTAGCCCTTCCTTCGACGAGTTTGGGCAGAACCACATCCGGTGAGTCGACTTGATGTTTTCCTTTGCCCTTAACCTTGTGAGCGTCATCCTCCTCGACTGCGGAGGGAAAGAGCTGCCTGTCCAGCGACGTAGAGCAGATCCATGTGAAGAGGGCTCGCACCTTTTCCTCCTCGGTCTTCAGGCCGCGGCTACCAACGAGATGCCAATAGAGATCACGCCAGCAGGCCGGCTTGGCCTTGCCCTGGGCAAGTTGCCGTGCATCGCTATCCACTGGCTGTTCCTTGTGGACGCGAGCAGCGCTATTTGCCACCTCGCTGAGGGGTCGCTTGGAGATAGCCGTCACTTCGGGGTGGCTCTGAACGTGTGTACCATCTTTGGACTTCTTGCACGCCGGAATGATTGAGGGAAGGCTGAAATTGCTTGGTGCTGGCTCCAGAAAGACCACCTTCTCTGAAACTGCAGACTCCTGTTGATTGGCGGATTCAGCATTGATTTGATCACCTGCCGCACACAATCTTTGTGGGTAGCATACAATAACTATAATTTCACTTTTACTACACAAACTTATAAAAACCTCGGCACAGGAAATACGGTTCATAACTAACTCACAGAGGCAACGACATTGAGGATGTACCCAAGAATTATTTAAAAATAAAAGAATGGTCGTTGTATCACATCAAGTGTTGAATCCATAATCGTTACTCGTATATAGCAAATGCATTTAAGTAACTTTGCAAAGCTCAACTGCATATTAATGGTAGAAATGAGTAAGGCTTTCGTAAATAAACTAGTAGACAATGAGTATTGGTGGCAAGGCGCAAACATGAAACCCACTTATTTACCTCCAGCCACAACTACTTTGTTTTTTGGCTTCTTGCACTTATTTTGCACGCCTTCTACCTGAAAAACAGAGATGATTGGAT